CGTCGAGCACTCGTCCACGTCGTTGCACGTTTTACCGTTCTCGTCTAGCCGCAATCCTATAGGACAGTTGCACCTAACGCCGCCTACGATGTTGAAACACGCGTGGGAGCAGCCGCCATTGTCCACCTTGCACTCGTCTATGTCGACGCAAGTTTTGGAATCGTTGGCAAGCGCGTGGCCGTCCGGGCAGGTACACCTCCACGAGCCCGGAGTGTTGACGCATTCGTGGAGGCAATCGGCAAGATCCGTTTTGCACTCGTCGACGTCGACGCAGGTTTTCTCGTCCTGGGAAAGCTCGTAACCGGTTGGGCAGGAACAAAAATGGCCGCCAATAGTGTTGGTGCATTGATGAGAGCAGCCGCCGTTCCTCTCCAGACACTCGTCTATATCCAGACAAGTGGATTTATCGGAGTGGAGGTAGTGGCCCTCGTAGCAGGTGCACACGTAGCTCCCCAAGAGGTTCAAGCAGTCGTGACTGCAATTGTGTCGATCGTTCAGACACTCGTTCATGTCGATACAATTTTTCTTGTTCTCCGGCAACAGGATGTAGCCGGAGGGGCACTCGCAATAGTATCCCCCTTCGGTGTTGACGCAGATGTGGGAACAGCCTAGATCCACGTCATTCTCGAACTCCTCGCACTCGTCGATATCCTCGCAAGTTCTCTGATCCTCCTGTTTCAATCTGAATCCCAGAGGGCAGGAGCAGTGTACCGTCTCGCTACCTTCCTCGTGGTGACAATGATGAGAACAGTTTCCGTTGTTCTGCTTGCAACCGTCGACCAACCTGCAAGTTTTATTGTCATTCTCCAACACGTATCCGGTTGGACAGGTACAGTGAAACGATCCTACCAAGTTCGCGCATGTATGGGAGCATCCCGCGCTCGAGTCCTCGCATTCGTCCACGTCGTCGCAGAAAGCGGGTTCAACGGGGCTCACTTTGAATCCTTGGTTGCACCCGCACTCGAACCCGCCCTCCGTATTCGTACACCTGTGCGTGCAATTGTCCAACAATTCCGAACACTCGTCGACGTCCACGCAGGTAGCGTTGTCGTCCCCCGACAGTCTGAACCCGGACGGGCACTCGCAGGC